ATTCCGAGTTTCACACCAATCCGTCAATAAACAACGGAGATGCCAAATTTCCGCCATTTTGAACTTTGACCGGCCGCCATTTTGTCAAAAATGAACATTTTGACCTGCGGTTTGCGCCAAAAATTTTCTTTTTTTATTATCTTTCGAATGAGGTATCACAAAGGGGGGGTTGCCATTTGAAAAAAAAAAGTTAGCCCCCGCCCCCCTTAAGGGGGGCCGCCCCCCAAAATTTTGGGGGGACCAAAAAGTTGCTACTTTAGACCGAGGAACATTCCCAAAGTTTCAAACTTCTATCTCAATTTGGAAAAAAGTTACAGGGGTGGTCAGTGACTTTTGGATAACCCTGTATATACATACATATATATATACATATATACATACATACATATACACATGAATTTGAATGGCATATATTTTCGTGATCTACGACCCGTGATCGGTGCTTTTCACAATGTCTCAGGTCTGGATTCGACATCATGGGAGAATGCAATAGTGTATTTCCTTCGGAAAATACACTAAAAAACATTCTGCCGACATTTTCTTCTAAGCCATTGATACGTACCAAAATAATTTAAATTGGAGGAGTGTGACTAAGTCCTCCTTTTGCCAGCGGATTTAAAACTGAACATCCTGTAATAATCTTTTTTGCTTTGGCTTTCATGTTTCAGCTTGTGACTGCGATCAAGATGGGTCTTTAGATGATGCAATTTGTGACTCTCGAACTGATGTGGCCAATGGTCTAGAGTCTGGTCGATGCCATTGTAAAACAAATGTAGATGGGCGCAGATGTGACACTTGCAAAAATGGTTTTTGGAATTTCACAGCAAGTAATCCAGATGGTTGTCAAGCCTGCACCTGCAATACTTTGGGAACCATAGGTAATCAAGGTTGTGACAAGCTGACTGGAGATTGCACGTGCAAGAGATTCGTTCTGGGACGTGATTGTAACCAGTGTATGCTTGGATTTTGGGGACTCGGAGAGACGCCCGAAGGTTGCAAACCCTGTGATTGTGATATCGGAGGTGCTTATGACAACGCTTGCGATGTGATAACTGGACAGTGTCAATGTCGTCCACACTTAACTGGTCGACGCTGTGATACACCTGAACAGGGTTTCTTTGCTGGGAATCTTGATTTCATGGTTTATGAAGCTGAAAATGCCAATTGCACTCACAACTGTGGTGTTGTAATCAGAGAGCCTTACAGGGATCGTAACAGTTCATGGACTGGTCCTGGTTTTATGCGAGTATTTGATGGCACAGGTTTAGAATTCACAATAGATAGAGTACCTAACTCATTAGAGTATGATATTGTTATCCGCTATGAGCCACAATACCCTGGTGCATGGGGAGATGTAGATGTTGTCATAGAACGGCCAGAACCAATTGATCCAAATGGTCCTTGTGGAAATACGCAACCAAGTGATGACAGGAAAGGTGCCGTTCTCTACTCTAACTCCCGTCATGCAGTCGTGTATCCACCAACTTGTTTAGAAGCTGGGAAAACTTACAAAGTGAAGCTCTACTTTAACAAGCAAGCAAATGAGACAGATTACCCGCAAGCCTCAATTCTTATTGATTCTATTACATTAATCCCGCAAATTGACAGAATGCCTTTCTTCCAAGCACCGGAAGCTCACGATAAGAAGGAAGAATACGAACGTTATCGTTGCGGGGAAGTATTTTACACAGTGTTGAAAGGTACCATTCCTGAAATATGTAAATCTTATTATTACAGCATCGGTTATTATGTTCACCAAGGAGCATACTCATGCGAGTGTGATCCAACTGGTTCTGTGAGTGCACTGTGTTCCTCTCTTGGTGGGAGTTGTCAGTGTAAGGATAATGTTGTTGGACGACGTTGCGATAAATGTGCTCCAGGAACCTTTGGATTTGGTCCTGAAGGCTGCAAAGCTTGTGACTGCCACACTGTAGGTGCGTTGGACAATTTTTGCGATCCTGTGACAGGTCAGTGCAAATGCCGTACCGCAACTTATGGACGTCAGTGTGACCAATGTCAACCAGGTTATTGGAACTACCCTGATTGTAGACGGTGTGAATGTAATGGTTACGCTGACACTTGTGACTCTCGTACTGGTATTTGTCAAAATTGTCGTGACTTCACATATGGCGTTGACTGTGGCAGTTGTGCTCCAGGTTATTACGGAGATCCACGACTGGGCATTGCTATTCCATGCAGACCATGTCCTTGTCCAGGCACTGTAGACAGCGGACATTCATATGCAGATCTTTGTGAGTTAGATCGTTCGACAAATGATGTTGTGTGCAAGTGTGCTCAAGGCTACGCTGGCTCACGCTGTGATGTTTGTGCAGACAATTATTATGGTAATCCTGATGTCCCAGGCGGCTCTTGCAGATTGTGTGATTGTAGCTCAAACATCGATATTACCAAGCCAGGAAACTGTGATGTTCGCACTGGCAAGTGCCTGAGATGCTTGTACGACACCGCTGGATTTAACTGTGAAGTGTGTAAAGATGGATATTATGGCAACGCAACAGAACACAATTGTCGGGAATGTGTGTGTGAAGTCCTGGGAACTGACCAATCAGGTGGTCCCTGCAATGGCGTAACGGGTCAATGTCCTTGTTTACCAAATGTAGTTGGCTTAACTTGTGATCAGTGCGAGATTAATCACTGGAAAATTGCTAGTGGCTTTGGATGCGAACCTTGCGCCTGTGATCCTGTAGGTTCAACTGAAGATCAATGCAATATGTTTGATGGACAGTGTAAGTGCAAGCCTGGCTTTGGTGGTAGACAGTGTAACCAATGCCAAACCAATTTCTGGGGAGATCCAAATGTTCAGTGTCAACCTTGTAACTGTAATCCGGACGGTTCAGCTACAATGCAGTGCCACCAAAATAACGGCTCTTGCATTTGCATTTTGGGTGTCGGCGGTGAAAAATGCGATGAGTGTGCCCGTGGATTCCTTGGAACAGCTCCAAATTGTAGTCCATGTGGCGAATGCTTCGACAGTTGGGACGGTATATTAACTGATTTACAACAGCAAACCAACAGCATCATCAAAGCTGCAACAGAAATAAGACACGTCGGAGCAACCGGAGCTTACACTCCAGAATTCGAAGCAATGGAAAAGAAAATTGATGATATCAGAGTAATGCTTGCGAACACATCTAAAAGTGCTGTTGACCTTCAGCGACTCCAAGACTTAGTGTCACAAATCAGATTAACTCTGATGTCCTCTGATGGCTTGAATGGCGTAAATAAGCAACTGGAGGACACTGCACAAAAAATAATTACGTCCAATTTTGAGTTGGACAACATAAGAAACAAAACTGCCGATCTGAAGAAAATTGCAGAACAATTCAGAGATAATTCAACTCAGCTGCAAGAAAGTAATGTTGAAGGTGCCTTAAATCTCACAAAACAAGCGGAAGAGAGAGCAAGAATCGCTCGAGATAAAGTCGGAACAATCATTCAGTTAACTGATGATGTAGAAAGGCGATGTAAGCAAACCGAAGCTTTAATTCAAAGAACCACTTCGCAGTTCACCCAAGACCAAAACAGAAACACAGAAAATATTAAAATTCTAGATAATGAAATTCGTGATTTAGAAGACAAAATCCCGAACCTGAATTTACAGATTTGTGGGAAACTGGGAGATCCATGTGATCAGCTTTGCGGGGGAGCAATGTGTGGCACTTGTGGTGGAATTTCATGTGAAGGCTCCGTTGAAAAAGCTGGCAAAGCCTATGACTTCGCTCAAGAGGCAGAAAAAGCCATCCGAGAGAAGCAAGGCAAAGCAGAAGAAACTTTCAGAGGTGTATCCAGTGCACGTCAAGAAGCCTGGGTGGCAAAGAATCTAACAATGGCAACTCTTGAGAAGTCAGAGCTTGTCCATAATAAATCTATGGATATTCTTGATAGCAGCTCTATACTTGCTCAAAAGATTGAAGAATTCCTTACACCTCAATCGGCCACACCTTCTCAGATTAGGGTAGTTGCAAACAGTACACTGAACAAGAATATTCAACTGAAACCGGAGCAAATCACAGATTTAGCCAAGCAAATAAATGAAACTGTTGCATCAATAACTGATATTCATTCTATCCTATCGGAAACTGCAAACGACCTTGGTCGAGCAGATAAATTGAAACAAGAGGCAGACTCTGCTAAAAATAAGGCTGAAGTAACCTTGAAAACTGCTGAAAAAGTCACAGAAGCACTGAATGAAGCTGAAATAGCGCAAGAGAAAGCAAACCAAGCGATACGTGAAGCGAATAACAACATCACTGTTGCAAAGAAAGATTTGACTCTGATCGGAAACGAAACGGATGAAGCTGAAACGAAAGCTGAAGAAACTGTCAAAGAGGTTGAAATACTTCAGGAACGACTGAAAGCTTTGCAAACTAAGTTCCTTGAAAATGGTAGAGACGCCAAAAACGTAGAACTAGAAGCTTCAGCTGTCGAAATTGAAGTAGAGACTGCTAGAAACAAAACTGTGAAACTGCAGGAAGAGCACAAGAAAGCAGAGCACCGACTGAAAAATAGAGTTAGTAGTTCTGCAACAGCTCGGAACAAGGCAACTGAGCTTCACCGGAAAGCTAGTCAATTGTATGTTAATACAAATTCTAAGCTCAAGGAATTGCTTGAGGCAGAAAAATCTCTATTTGAACAAGAACAAATGTTAATCGACTTATCTAAAGAAGTTGACACTCTGAATGTTAGAATTTCTGAAAGCTTATCAGTTATTGGTAGTCAGTCAGAATACTACCGTAATTGTAATTAGAAAAAGATTATCTCTCCTCTTTTTCATAGTTTATGACTCATTCAGGTAGAATGTACTTACCTTTTTCTATTTTTTTACTTACTTTAGGCTAAGGATCGGTTTTCCTTTTGCTATCTAGGAATCAAAAATTTCTAGGATTAAATTTTCATTTGATGGGAAGTACTTTTTGTATATTTTCATGTATGTAATTTTTTAAGCCTAGCTGCTTAAGACCTTGACTGATCAATTTCCCCTCTTTCATATTCAGTAACAAAAAGACTTAACTCTTAGTGCCTTTTAACTTTAATACTTAGACACATGTAAAACTTTACGTGTATTTTTAAAATATGTTACGCTTAACTGCATGTGAAAAAAGGATAGAAGAAAATCCACTGAATAATTCACTCATGATAGCATTTTAAAGAAAAACAATTGTTTTTTATAGTTTTGTGCCAAAAGATGCACTGCCATTGCACTGCTATTAATAGGTACTTTATTAGGCCTATTTTGAGTCTGAAACGTAATCGCTGGTGCTCAATTGTAAAAAGAAAAATTGAAAGTTCCTTAGAATAAATCTGCATTTTTAAAGGTTACTCTTGGAGGGGTCTCATATCTTGTAAATGAATTAGCTTGCCTTAGTTTGATGTGCCATTGTTCTATTATTTTATTTTATGGTGTACATGTAATTTGGAAGACAACATACTCAGTCATATGGATAAAACTGTGTTGTAAATTAAACTTGTTGTCTAATAATACTTTTCTTTTTCAATTCACGAATTAACCTGCCTATCAATGGGTATTTCTCTGGTTTTGCATCAATCTCAGGTTTCGCGATGGATGGGGGAAAAAAGGTTTGATCAAATGAAAATAGGTTTGATTTTTGAAAATGTTCAGGGTTTTTTAGTTCAGGTTCATGAATGATTTGAGTAAAAAAATTTTTTAGTTTGTTGCAGGACAGGTAGTAATGACTGAGTCCAACAAAATCTCATTATTGTCTCACATACATGTATTATCATGTACGATTTTCCTTTCAATCAAATAAAGTTCAACTACCTACTTACTTGTGTAATAAAATAAAAAAACATTATTTTGAAAATTCATTAAATCATCAGCTCCATTAGCAGAAAAATTGTACAGTTGAAGCTCACTTTACCGTGCACAAGATTTACTGGATTTTTTTTCAAGTCTGTACCAATTTTCCTCATGGACCAAGTTAAATTTCCGTTATAAAATCTGGTTGTCAAGGTGCGGTCCATGTTACAATTTACTGGATTATTTTACATCCAAGTAGTAGAATTTTGCAATTGAAAGGAGTTTTCAATAATTTCCCCAACTTTAGAGCACTGTAATATAAGCTGCGCCACTGGAATTTCGATCATCTGATTTCTCACTCTACAGTCACAATCTTATTTGAATTAAGCTCCATTATCAAAGTCTCTTTAATAACCAGCAGGAATGGTGTACGCAGACACTTTATCACTGCAATTAAAATTTAATCCGTTAACTGCAATTTCAGAAAAATGCATTGCTACAATAAGTTGCAAGTCAGCATAAGAATGTGACCCCAGATAAGATAGACCATGAATACTATAGACCATAGCGAACGGGAAGTCGGATGGGAAAACCCTTCAAAATAGTCTCCTAGAACGATGATAAGACCCTGTGGACAATTTTTCAGTCAGATCGGAGGGAGTTGGTCATAATTGATGTGGAATGACCCTTCAATCAAAAAATTGGAAAAGTAGGAAAGCACCTAAATATTAAATTGAGGGACTCAATGAAATTGAAAATACCCTCAAAATTATATAGTTTATGCAGAGTCTCATTTTCATAACAGCATATCGTTCTGGTGATGTTATGTCATTCTGATGATGTTATGTCATTCTGGTGATATGAAGTTAGTCTGATAACGTTCAGCTCCTATCCAATTTTGTGGTAATGCTCATTAAACCTCAACTCATTCTAAAAACGTATAGATCGCTTTGATTTTTGATATTGATATTTTTAATTCGAATGAAGTGCTGTTGCTGAATAGAAGTTGACTTGTTGATTTTATAGTTTTTTTTTTTTTTGGTAGTTTTCAAATATTCTGATAAAAATTCTTACTGTACTGTGTTGTATTACCCTCCCAATTATGAAAAAGAGACAATTTTCACATAGTTTTCTCTTCGTTCATTAACGAATTAAGACTGACTAATTATCAAGCAAAATGTAACTTTCCAATGCTACAACGTACTTTTTAATATTTAAAACTAAAAAACTAGAGGTATTTCAAATCTCCTTCGGCTTTCTTTTTTAAAAACAGTGAAAATGTAATTTTTCAATGAAATGAAATAAAAGTGGTCAAATAAAAAGACCGAAACCAGCACCATTGAGATATACAACATCTATCAAGAGCATGAAGAATTTTTGCGAAACCATTACTTCATTACATACTCTTCTGGGGTGATAAAATATCGACAGTCACAGGGTTAGATTTACCATTCAAGGCACACTACACATGTCACAACTCTTGTGGCTTTATTTTTAGAAAAAATTAGATGCCAATAGACTGCTTACACCACCCCGTTGGGTGGCGTTGATAAATTATGTTACGATCTAAGGAGGGGTGGAAGGGATATGAGCCTGCATAACAAGAAGGGAGAGGAAAGATACTGCTAGCGTTAAGTAACCCTCTCCATTGGTCTCCAATGGTAAAAAATACGCAAAAAGTATGCAAGTTTGCGTAATCTCTCATCACTATTTGTCACACCATCATTAAAATCTTCAAGCAGGTGGGTCATGCGGTACATAATTATTAAGGGAGGGTACGGGAGGTTGTGTTGTGAAAAGTTAAAAGGGGGAGGGGGGGAGGTCAAAAAGTGAAGTATGTAATTCATGAGCGCTCCCTTTGCCTGAAATTACCTGCCATTAATATTTAAGTTTGCATGGTGGTTGTTGAGCTTTAGTACTTTAATTACCTCCGATTTTAGACCGATCTCTTAGCTCTCAAGCGGCACAATCTAGTTCCTGGTCCCTTCTAGACATTTTGTATTACCGTTAATGCTGAGATCAAGTCTTTTACAAATGGAAGTTGGACAAAAATGCACCAAATTGCATCAAGTTTGAAAAAAAGAAAAAGGTTAAGAGAATATATTTTCTATTCATTTTGGTGTAATTAGGAGGATGAAAGTTCTGGTTACAACTTGGGACTCATGAATTTTAATAAATGCCACTAATAATTAAATGAAAATCTCTTTTATTTTAACAAAATTCTCTTTGATTTGACATTGATTCGAAGACTCATGTTACGACTATACGAACTCTCATGGAGTAGTTTATTATAAAAATCAAAATGCAGTAATGACGTGCCTGCTTGTAAAAATTTCTCACCATCAATTCCTAAAGATACGCCTCAAGTTACCAGGTACAAAAATGATGTAGGATTTACCAAACAAAAACAAACCTCAACACAGGTTCATTATCTTAAACACAAACCAATAACAAGAAACAATTTCATTTCGGCATATAATATTTATGGAACAAATTTTATTTACTTTTTACTTGTCACAGTGATAAATAAGTCTTCTAAAAAAATACAATACGCGTCAGAATTGGTGGATGCAATTGTAGATATATGATGATGGTCGGTTTTTAGGTACATAAAATTTCGTGGTAAATAAAATGACTTATAATTAGTTAAGTCCGCAAAGAAATCAAGAAGGTACAAGGCTTATTTCTAGAGAAATAATTAAAGGAGAGCAAAGAGTTTAGTAATCTCTCTGTCTGTCGTGGCTTTTTGGTTGCTGCTGGCATCACATTGTAAATTTTAATTGCAAACCATTTGATTTCAGTTTATCTTACCTTCAGCCTAATTTTAGGAACTTGAATTTTTCATGTCAGCTATGGTATACACACAAGTTGTCCCCAAAGAGGTTCTTTCACGAGCAAAAAAAAAAAGCAAGAAGAATAGATCTGCACCTCAATGGTGAGAGGAGGAATTGAAAGTTCGAATCTTGTTGGATCAGAAATGCGCTCATGAAGTTTTGCTTTTGTGACTTCAATTTTGCTTGTTTTCTGTTTAAAAAATGGGCTGCAAATTCGCAAGAATACCCCACGATAAACGATTTTTAGAACATCAGAACTCATACTATTTTTTACCAAATAAAGGGCTGGTTTTAAAGGTAATTTTTTCCATTTATTTGTTTGTAGAAGAATTGTTAGTCGCATTACTTTTGGGTCCATCTATGTATGAAATGGTTCAAGATCAACCTGGGTAATGAGGTTGTTATTAAATACTTATCCATGCATGTCTAGTTACTACATGGAAGGAAATGTTAAAATCTCATGTTGGGATAAATAACCCTTTGCAGGGATAATCAAATGGTCCATTAATCATTATTTTGAATATTGTTATTTTTTCTCTCAGTATGGCATTACATTCTAAATTTAAAATTGTAACTTTATACCCTAAAGTTAGTTTCACAATGTTTAATCTCATTAAATGACTTCACAGTTGCTGTTAGTAGAGAAGGAGAAATTTAAGTAAAGGGGGAAATTTGAATAAGATGAAATTTTGCCTTAAAATTGACTTAATAGAAAGTCAATTCATACAATGTCAGAATTGAGTGAAGTTCGGTAATTCGAGCTTCATGTGTTGTTTGTCATTACCTTCACTTTGTGAGCACGTCTAATCTTCAATCATGTCTCTTACAAGTTAAGGAAACTCAAAATTATCATGGTTGATTGGGGGGGGGGGGCAAATGACCCAAAATATGAGCAGCTTTACTGAAAGTCAGAGGCCACTAATCTAGTTTAACAAACATTCCTAAAAAAGCATTGCTGATACCAATCACATTTTGGCCAAATTGTATTTTCTTCTTTTGCTCAGAATGATCAAGACACACTGCACTTCTTAGCTGAGAGGGTAAAATCAGCTTTCAGCTAGAAGTAGGTACCCACAAAGGCACAGATACGTAATCATGCGGCTTCACAGTACTTGCACCAAAGTTTGAAAGTAAACTAGGTAATTCAAACTATTTTTTTCTGCGATTCATTCTTCAAACAGCTCTACTTATTACATAAAATTAATTTCATAAATATTGTAAAAGCAAATAGGAGCTAATCAAAAGTTACACTGCCCCTATCTCTGAGAGGTTACCAGAAATTTGAAGAAAAGTATACGACTTACAGTGTTTGCTGAAAATTGTAATGTACAATCCTGCCCCCAAAAGCGGGTTGAGCAACTCTTAAATTTTGGCCGGTGCCAAAGAGGAACTAACATTCAGATACCTTTGAGTTTCTGATATTTAAAATGCAAGTTAACAACGCTAATTAGAAATTTAAAAAATGAAAGACTGTTGCATGGACTGAAAAGTCTGTTACAACCAAAAATAAAAATAATCTGATAATATTTCAGAAAAAATTGCAAAAAAAAAAAAAAAAAAAAAAATGTACAAAATTTAAAGGCATTGTTCGAGGAGCTAATTTACAAAATTTAAAGATGTTAAGCAGTTGAAAAACATCAACTTAAACCTGCGGCAAAAGTTTCTAATTTTCTTTTTGAGATCAAAATACATCAGTCCTCTTTCATCTTAAAAGAAGTTGAAAACAATGATTTACTAGAAATAAGATGATCTAATAATTATATTTATATAAACATAGATACCTAAAATAGAAATTTCTTTGCTTAAAATATCATTGTAGAAAAAAAGGAAAAAAATATCATTCATAAAAAAATATTAAGCCATAAATATACAGTGACAGAAAATTGATGCTGCGACTTTTGCTTTCCTTTTTTTCCCCTCGTTAATAAGAAATTCATATCTCTCAGTCTATCCTTCGTGTGTTGCAGAAATGTTTCCATTCATTCCATACTAACCTTGATAAAAGCTGAAATAAAGAAAAAAATGGTTAGAGGATTTCAAAATTCAGACCAGTAAATCGGATACATTTCTTGAAAAAAATCTCTCGGCACCCTAAGAAGGACGTATCTGCCTTCGATCTCTTCAGTGGAGAAGTCCTCTTATGATCATTTATCCGCTAATGGGAGGATTTAGCATAAGGGGCTATCCTTCGCCGATAATAATCGGCGAAGGACCGAACCATGAGATAACCATGATACCATGATGACCTATGATATTAACCATTGTGAAATATCCATTAAAATAACCATTGTGAGTATGTGTGAATGTTATGTATGAATATGTGAAATAATGTGAAATAACCATTCTGGTAAAAACATGCTCTTTCTCTTGGGCGCAACATTTCAAGGACTTCGATAATGTTTTTAATTCATTTTCAGTGCAAAAGCCTAAAATTTAAGTTTGAAAAAGCATAACTGATGCGATTATCCAACTTAAAAAAATTCCTGCTCACTTCATTGCTTAGGGTCACTAAATTAGAATTTTGCACTAATGTAAAAACACGCTTCACTTTTTAGAATTAGCAGGTATTTTAGGTAAGCAGGTGCTGATAATGTACATTAGGAAGATTACAAATTTGTTGAGAAACGCCTACTTTTACGAATGAAGCCTTAAATGACATTTGAATTGCTTTTGGCGCTTAAAAGTACATTTAGAACTGTAATTTGTAGTGAGTTCTCCTGTAGTTATCACATAGAACAGAAATTTGCCCTGTCACTTGGCGATTGCTTGTAGCCCTGCTGCGAGCTGAGCTATAGTGGGAGTAGGCCCGGCTACTCTGGTATGCTTACAAGCCTATTCAAGGCAGCCCAACAGTTCTGGCCTGCTCGTCATTTTAGCTAAGTGCTATTGGCTAGCCATGATGTGCTAACTGAATACAAGTATTCATAACCAAAAGAGGAGGGAGGCGCCAAGGAGAAGTTTTCAAATTTTTACTTGAGATAGCCCCGGGATTTAGCACTATAGATGCTATCAGTGCTACTTCACAGAAAAATGACACATCATTAAAATTAATAGAAGTCAAACATGAGAAAAAGATGCGCCTTAAAGTTCAAGTATACCTCTCTGATATATGTATGATTAAAGAAGCAAACTAAGTAACTTACCAAAATTGCAAAAGTATTTGATAACATTAACATGTAAAATACACTGATCCAGCCGAACCAGTTACCAACAAGACCAGCCAGGAGAGGCCCCAAAGCCGCACCTTTAAACAGAGAGAAAAGTTATTGAACACTGTTTCATACATAGGGAAAGTCAAAATATGCTTAACAGACTGAGGCAGCATAACATTTTGCAGCTTTGGTTAAACATTTAAATTAAAATTTGAGGAATTAGGAAAATAATGTTTTTTAAAACATGAAATTAGTGTAGAATTTATTGATGGTGAGGAGCGCAATGAGTCTAAAAATAGAGTTTCTAGAAAATGGATCTACAACTAATTATGGGAATCTAATAAGATCTCTGTTTTGTTTTTTGTTTTTTGTTTTCAAAATGATCAATCAATATCCAAAAGACTGCATTTTTTTATTGTTCCGTAGTAAAGAATTTAACCTTTGACTTTGATACAGGGACTAATTTTTTCATGTGTGAGGAATTTTCTACTTGCATACAATATTATGTTTCCAACAAATAATAACATGAATTTGAGGGTTAGAAGAGAGCAGAAAATAATACAAATTTGCACAAGACAGAAAAAACAGCTCTACAGCTCTTTTGCTGAGCAACATGAACTCACAGTTGTTACTTACTGCTCTCCGACAACTCTTGTATTTTGCTAGTAAGGCGGATTTTGCTATTTATCGTGAACATGTCAGTTCATTCAAATGGGTCACTGAACCTTGTTTATTTTATTGAATATTCTGAAAGTACAATGTGAGTAGATAACGTGGTGATTTTTCCGCATTTTTATGGAGCCGAAATCGCGGAGAAACCCGCTTTTGAAAAATCTAAAAACTGCAAGACATTTACAACGCACCCGAATGGCAGGAAACTGACGGTGTTGACGCACTGCGGTAGTCATATCACAATCTTCTCTCATTTTCCTCTGATGTTTGTTAAAATAAAACGTGTTTCAATGTGGAATTGTTGCTCGTTTATTACAGCTAACATATGAATGAGATTCAAGTCTTGAATTCAAAAGATATAATTTCGACTTTAGTATTGTTTTCATATACGAAGAGTAGAAAAACATTTGACAGAAGTCGTGGAAACCCGTGCCCGCTTCTGATTGATGCCGGATGACATCATTCGGCGCGGCGCGAAACTGGGGCGTTTTAAATTTGCGTATAAGTTGAGCGATTTGAACTGCGCATTTCTCAGTTATTGAGTTACTTGTTCGCGTTTTTAATATGCGCATCGTGTTCTACGCGTCATTTTCCTTCAGAAAACTATATTCGCAAGTCAAAATTCGTTCATGGTTTAGTGACCCATTAGATAAGTGACATTTTTAGGAAAACTTGATGTTGGAAATTTGGTCGTTACTGCTCTTTTCACAAGCTTGGCAGTGACACTGTGTCCTGCAAATTTACTAAACCATTGATTACCTATTGATCCAGTTCCATCGATGATTGCAGTAACAGTGGCCAAAGCTCGTGATGAATGTTGTGATCCAAGATCAGCTGATATAGCAGTTGTTATAAGGGCATACGGCCCATTGACCAGGGCACCACTCACCAGAAGGAGACCGGTTAAGATGATTTGGTTTTCAAAAACAACCGGTACATCATATAAGTAAAGCTGAAACATCAAGTAATGAAAGGGATTAGGGCCTTACTTTTTTATGAATTTAAAAAACAAACCGACCGAAGCCTCAACCACTTATTGGGAGGGTATTAGTCGGACCGCATTTAGCAGAAAGGAACCAAGCGACATCATCAATTGCCAATTTTAACTGAGCAATTTAATTTTTCACAAGAGAACATTTGTGCAGATTTTTTTGAAAATTTTAAGGAATTTGCTTTGTACTATACAGAAAATTCACTTTAATTTGCAACAAAAGCCGCAAAACTGTTTTCATGCAAAAAAATAAAATAAAATAATATCAACTGACCAATAAAATTTGGCAATAGCTGAAAAGGCTTGGTTCCTATCTGCTTAATGCGGTCCAGTTAAGAAAACTTCATTGGTAAAGAGAACAGGTACATCATTATCATACATACAAATTTGAATTCGGTGTCACTGCTTGTATATAAGGGATCAAATAATTCGAAAGTAAAGTTCATTTTCTCTTCCAGTAAAAAAAAAAAAAACCTGAAAATCAAAAGGCAGCTAGAATGGCATTTGCAGGCAAAGATAGCTTTACATATTCTTAGATACAGAATTTAGCGTCATTGTTCGAGTTTTTGGGGTCGAATAATTTGGAAATTCAGTTAATTTTCCTTTCCGATAAAAAACCCCCTGGAAATTGAAGACGGCAACCACAATGGCAACCGATTGTAGGCTAAAACATTAGTTTAGAGTGATGATGACAAATGACATTTCAAAAATTAGATTTCTAGAGTTTAAGAATTTGCATTAAATATCCTTTAGAACTGAAAGTTATGACTGCAAATCCAAAACAACCAAAAAAATGGCTGCCTCTTGAAACGCAAACCGATGAGTGACGTACTTGATATCATGCGTGTATTGTAATTGATAATTTTGAGTACCTAGGCATATAAAAACTTATGAATTTTTTCTGCTTTGCTAATGCACTTTTTCCGCTTTGCTAATACACTTTTTCCTTGCTCAAGAATAATGAAAACATTAATTCTTAGATTCTGGCAAGAATCCTTTGGCACGAGTGTTTTTGCCAAATGTACAGCAATCGCTAGATTGTTGACGTTAATTCTTTGTTGTTGGCTTTAAAATCAATAAAAATGGCTTAAACACCGAGGGGGGGGGGGGATAAAAAATCTCAAACTATGAGTTTAAAGTATGCAGGGTAAGGATGAGTTTTTTTTTTTTCAAGAAAGACAATCATCAAACTCGTTCAATAATCAATAGACAGAAACAATACTTACTGAAGGCACAGCAAGTAGTAACATGAATAGGCATGTGGTTGCACTCATGTTGGTAGAGTCACTGAGAGCACCTGCAATGATACCGCCGAAGATACCACCAACATCAAAGAATGTGGAAACATCTGCACTCGTCGATGCACTTAATGTAGCTGAAACAAACCAAAAAATAAAAGTTCTTCTAGTTACTGTAAAGATGGCACATGGTACAACAGTCTTATCAATCTCAAACTGATCTAGTAACCAAGACTGCTTGCGAGCTCTTTTTAAAAAATCTTGAAAAAACTTTTAAAAATTATGCTGCAGAAAACCTTTTTTAGATATTTTTTCGTAAAATTTATGCTTGATAATATATAAGTAAAAAAGTATTTCAAAGAGACTACTTCTTTGGTCCAAGTTTTTTTTAAAACTTTTTTGAAACATTGTAAGTATTTAAATATAAAAGCAGTGTGTTAGATTTAAATGAGGAGAATAGGAAATCACAAAGGATATGGTTGCAAATTAGAGATCCAATGATAAAGCCCATTTTAATTCCTCAAATAGAAATACCTGTGGGTGATGAGCTCTGAAAAATTAAAAATGAAAAACTAGAAGTATAAAAGGACATTAAAGCATTGGATGCTAAGCCACATAAAATGGCAGCAAGTATGGGATTCTGTATTACGGATAGGTTCTTTTTGCTTACATAAATCTTTTTTATTCAAATACATTTATGTTGTCATCGAAATTCAAGAATGTAAGAGAGAACAAACAACTTACTTGATGATTTTATGTATCGAGGTAGCCAATACAGGAAAGTGTAGCTGACTAATTTAGCAAAGAATAAGCACAGGGAGTATTCCATGACACCCTGAAAAATAAAAACATGTTAAATGAAAAAAGAATTACAAAAGTTCAAATGAGTATTCTTTGGATCTGAAAATTCCAGCAAGTCTCTGACAATGAAGATTAATTCAAGTGTGGGATATCCCCTCCATTTTGGCCTCAGCTTGAGAGCTTTTTTTGAGCTGGGGAGTTGATTTCAGAGAAAACCAATGGCACCATTGTGTTTCTCGCGAACTTTTACACAAGAATCAATAGTCAAAACGTAAATTCCTCACACACGCAACATCTCCATTACGAGGTTTCGTCGAATGAATATCTGATATTGCGGAAAGACCGAAATGATGTTTGGTCATCCTATGAAGGAGAGTAAATCTTGTTAAATCTTATACAACTTTGTTAAGTCTGATCAGGAGAACCATACATTTTTTTACTTTTCTTTTGCTTTCTTAATAATTGCTAAAAATCCTGACTAAGTCGTATGAACACACCATAGCTCAAAGCATTTTTAGCATACATGGCTCAAGTCGCTTTAGATTTATGGGTAACTACTAGAACTTTAGGGTCACATAAACAGTGTACCTGTTAACATTCACCTCCAAGAAATACTTTTGAGGCGATCTTTGAGGTGAGATAAATAAAATGTACCTTTAAAATTACAGGAAACTTACTGGAATTACTAATGCTTTGAAAAAGCCAACAGGTTTATCAGGCATATTGGAGAGAATGGGGCTGCCTTCAGTTCGAACTTTGCCATTAGTCTAGAAAAGAATAGAAAGAATAATTCGAATGAGATGATTTAATAAGCATTACTACACACACTGAGTCAGAAAATATTTTTGTTGCCTTCATACAATGATGGTAAAAATTTGGACCTTGTTACAGAAAGGAGAGAAGGGTGGGCAACGAAGATAATAAGGACAGAAAAAACCTTCTAAGAAAAGCCACCTTCATAATTTTTTTTAGTAAGAGGTTACCCTTCTTTACATTGATAGGGAGGCTTCTTTATTTTGATTAGTTTTAAAGGTTAAATGAATGCTCACTTTCTCAAATTCAGTGACTGATTTCACAACAATATAATAGCAGTCTGTAAAAATCACTGCCTGAATATTTCCGTCAAAATTGTTGAGCGCATTGCATGACAATTTTTGTGGTATAAAACTTATTAGGTCGGACAGGTTGTCTATAATCTTTTGTCCATGGTAAGGATTCGAAACCTGGACAATTTTCAAGCTATTGGTAACTTATCTTACGATACTAGACTTTCTGCAGTCATAATATTCGTCAATTTTACAGGAGCTTCACCTGCTGTCCGATTCTTAATGCCTCTTCTTGGACTTTTCTTATCCATGTTAAACACAAAAAGAAAGATACAAAAAAGTAATGGGCAAACATTACTACGGGTAATTCATGGCTTATGCAGTAATGACGAAGGAGTTTATGTATCCATGCAAAATTATTTAAAAGTCATCACCATTCCTTTTGTTTCAATTTTCTAAATTAAAAGTAAATTAGATAATATATAAATACACAACTGCACATACAGACTTCCTGCATTTTAAACGGCCATACTACGAGAGCGTGTTCTTTAGTTCAAGATAAGACTTTCCTCTTCAATTAAGTTTTTTAGCAACTCTGACGGTGCACTCACATCCCGATGCCACTATTTTCGTCGTTCCTGATGCCGCTTGGACCAATGCTTCTTGTTACCATTGGTGAGAGCGCGCTGGGGTAGATGGGTAGCTACAAATGGCCCCTGTGGAAGCTACGGCCTCTAGTTTTTGGAAGGAAAATCATCGTTTTTTCTGAATTTAGGAAATGGTTATAAACTACACTTATGAGTATCTCTGCCACTTATAATTTTTAGCAGTGAATTCATCCATGGCTTGAAAAAAATTGAAAACTGAAGTTAAAGAGGAGCTTCAGGGGGTTTGGATCTTTTGAGGCAATATCTTGTCTTACATTCAGGGTACCATTAGTTCAGGCATAAAATAATCTTAGAGAATGGTCTTCAGCGTGTACTTTCTCTAGGACTTAATTTTTGAGAAAATCGAGTTTGAATGGATGAATACAAATGCACTTACGAAGAGGCCAGCTATTCGCAGCGACAACACAGAAAATTGAAGAAAGCAAGTCAAGGCTTGCTCCAAACTCTGCTCTGCGTCGTCACTGCAATGTCCAAATAACCTCCAATTTAGGGCACTTTTGGTAAACACTTCATAGAGGAGAAAAGTCTTATTTTTATCCATAGAACAAGCTCATGTAGAAGGACAGTTTAATCCTGAGGCCTTCTGTATACGTTTTAAACTTAAAAAAGAGATGAGTTGAAGATAAGAAAAAAAGACACAAGAAGTAAAAAAAAAACAGGTAGAGAGCTAGCAGATGAAAATAGAAAGCGTAAAGCAAAGATTATTTGATGCTCTTCACTTTGGATAATTAGACGTACGTATTCAAATCAAAAGGACTTACATCCATGCATGTCCTCATGGGTCACAGGGCCCAGACCATAATGGAGATGCTTCCTTTTAACTTAAATACATGCAATTGTAATTGATGGACCAGAAGACATATAGTAAAAATTAGAGTAACTCAAGAAATGTTTCCTTTATGCCGAACATGCGTGAACAAGATATACATATTGAAAATTCCAAAATCAAATCATAAATAAGATGTTGGCATTAATTGTTTACACTAAAATTGGAGAACAATTTCCCGCTCACTTACAAAAACCAACAGCAATGTAAGTCAAGTTGGTCATTGAAAACAAACCCAAACAATCAACAAATAACTAGATTTGGTTTCGGAAAAATTCCTTCTTTCCTCTTGAGCAAAATACACCTGTAATCTTGTCGAGAATAATAATTCAGCACACTGAGGTAATTATTTCATCGTAAAATACAACGAAATGGGTTAAGGGTTCGATTTGGCCTCAGTAGATTTTGGTTTTTTTCTTGCGAGCAGGGAGTATGAATTTGCGAATAGGAAAAATGCAGATTTCTAAATCATGTCTTCTAAGCTGAGATTGTAAATGTTCAGTGTGCCTACCATGTTCTACATTAAATTATGACAAGAATAAATGTGTTATGATACTTTGTTTTTAATCTTGTCAATGGGTCTATTTGATCATTTATTGGAAGAGATAAATTGAAAAATGATGACAGAGGTAAGAAAGAGATGAAAGAGGTGAAAATTGATAGACAAAAATAAACTATAATACCTCAGATTCATCTGCATTGCATTGATCGTCAGAAAGATCGCTCTCAATTTGAGATGACTCCTCTTCCTCTGAGTACGGTTGAGTGTTAATTCTTTCATACCTCCCATCAAGCAATCCTCTCGACTAACATGAACAAATTCACAAGCAACAAATATAGAAGCTTCCCCAATAATGAAATCAAGACAAACAGAAGCGATGAAGCAAATATTCACCGAATTACCACTGTAACACTGAGGTCAGTAACACATTAATATGAAGGACACTAATGATAATATATGTCTCATTGCCTTACTGGAGTTCGAGGTCACAAGAGGAAACTCCACTTCAGAGTAAGAGAGCTAGCATGTAAGGTGGTCAAGATAATGAGGGTTTGAGTCTCCACAAAAGGTAAGTTTTTTATTTTTGCAAATTAGGAATTGAGGCAGTATCTGATGGTTTATCATCCAAAAACATATGATCTAAGTTTGAACGAGGAACAAAATTGGAAAGAAAGGAGGAAATGGCGAAAAAAAGTGTACATTTTGGAAAATCCGACGATAAGGGCCATTTAATTCTAACATTATTTCAATGGCGATTTGGGAAGCTACAAGAAAAATTGGTCCGGCAAAACTCACACCTAAAATGGTAAATTTGTAAAGAGAGCCATCATGGAGAGCCGAAGAGAGAAAAGTTGAGAAAATGAACATCACTAGAATGATCTTCTTTGAAAATTTCTGAATTCATATCACCTTGACGGACCAGTATCTTGCTATTGAAGCATCGGAGGGGAAAACATTCCAAATTAATTTTTAAATGTTAATCAAACTGGTAATGGTTGGGGCTCCAGACCTGGTTGTTTTAAAGCGAAATGATCCAAATCTCACAATCAGTCAATTTTGAGTTTAAGAAGTCCAATTTGACTCAAAATATTTTATTTCACATCCCCTATTAGATGGTGTATGTAATTCAATTTTGGATTTTGGGAAGATATGATCTCTTTTTGCAGATTCAGTCAAAATTATAGTGACTTGTCAGTTGTCGGCTTTTAAATCAAACATTGCTCACCTTATTTTATTAAAAAAATTTTTTTTCATGACAATTACAAGAAAGTGTGTGATAGAGACCCTCTGATTCATAACATTCTGGGAAAAGCTATGCAGAATTTGAAAAATTGGTTGCATTTTCACTATGAACCATCCAGTATTGAAAAGAGAATCGGACAATGAGTTGTCTAAAAATCGCTATGAATAAGCTGGGTTTCTACCATATTGTCACCTTTCAGCCACAGTATCGCAAGCGCTGTTTGTGTTCAGGTAGTACGTTGCCAAACTTGTCCAGTAATTTAAGGAAAAAATAGATAATGAACAGAATCATTTGAAAATTTTACCATATATTTCTTTCATAATTGAAATTAATGCCTGAAATTTTCATAGAAGTAAGGGGCAAAATTTTTAATGAAACAATTGAAGCAATATTAAGATGTCCGGCAACATATAGTGAAAGCGTAAATGGACCGAGTTTAACAGAAAGGAACCAAGCCACATCAGCTGTTGCCAAAATTAAATGGGTATTTCAATTTTTTATGAAAGAATGTTTGTGCAGATTTCTGTGAAAATGATAAGGAATTTGCTTTGTACTATGGAGAAAATTCACTGAAATTTGCACGAAAATCTGCACTACCATTTTCATGTAAAAAATTAAATTGTCCAATTAAATTTGGCAATAGCTGATGTGGCTTGGTTCCTTTCTGTTCAACTCGGTCCAAATGGCCCTTGTGATACTCTGGCTAGAAGGTGACGATATGAGCTCAAGACACTCTGATTGAAGCTTCAAAGTTATCTACTCTTCGCCCTCCATAGACTATGCCTCATTGCTTTAAACTGGTTTCCTCCAGAGTTTCCTAATTTTGTTCAATTTTGCTTTTTTGGGACTGCCTCCATAAATTCTTTCAACTTTCTTCAACAATCATATAGCTCACCATTACATCAAATTTGAAACGAACTAGACAGGGTAAGAGATTAAGTGCCCCATGGTTGATACATCCAATATTTACAAATTTAACTCATGAGTGAAAATATGCATTTTCTATGCTCGTCCGTTTGAAATTTTCACTCGTCAAAAAAAGAAATTCTACATACTTGAGTTGGACATGTCACTGAATGAATTTCAGCAAAACAAAATTTTCCAGCACAGGATGCAAAAGATTTTTGTGACTCTGAACGCTAGTCAAGTTTCGTGTTAGTTTTTTTTTTTGGTTTCGATTTTTTAGCGAGCAAAAACTTTGAATTTACCAATTCTTACGTAGATTTCAAATGCTGATTTCTCATATTAAGTTACTTTTGGAATGTTTAAACATACTTGGTGTATTCAGTATGAAATATTGAAGAGGAGATGCACTTTTCTGTGCCTTGATCCTTAGCCTGTCTAGTGATCAATTGAGGCTTAAACAGACACTTTTTACGATGGTGACTTAATTTTCACAACAGAATCCAGCGACTTATACAGAAAACTAAGAAAGAGTAAAACAATATTTAATCCTCCAAATTCTCAATTGAAGACTTGCTGGAAGAAGGATGCATTACATTATCCACCCTTTTTTTTGAGATTAGTAAAGTATCACCTGCTGATCCTGAAAAACATACCCTCCAAGTTATATATCTTGAAGGATCTGTGCCTAAAGAAATACCTGTTTCATAGATTTGCAACAGCTATTATAACTTTTTATGTGATCAAAGATGAGATCAATGTGCTTTAAAATGTAATCAATGCTGAAGGATCAGATTTTTCAGATGCTTTTTTTATGCATTAAAAATCCGTTTTTCTACTGGTTGCTTTACTATGAGATGCATCTACATTGAAGCAATCCTCTCCATAACCGACTTTTCCATTTTTTCGGCACATAAGTCTTTTTCGCAGTGACCGATTTAATGGTGCTGCCGTGCTTCATGAAACAGGTTTGAACTTTTGAAACTTTTCATGAAAGTAAATAAAGAGAAAATCCATTGAAGAAGCCCATTGGCTAGCATTTAATTACTCAGTCTTGAACAGAAGAGTTTGGGAAGATGTCACGGAAAAATACAAACATCAATCAAGCCCTACCTTGTCTTGAAACAAAATTTCTCACAACACCAACTCATTGAATCCCTTAAAAGTCTGAAAACGTACACACGAGTAAAATGACATTAATTAACAATCATCCTGGGATTATTTTGCTCCCAAAAATAAATCCATCCGTTAGTGGTTCAAAAAGCGATAATTTCAGCTGATATCATGCAGAAAAACTGTAAACTCTAGCCACAATAGTTGTTATACTGATATTAAAGTGATAAGATTAAAATGATATTAAAAATTGTTGATATATCCAATTAGACATGAACAAGAAATTTGGTGCAATTATTTCTAAAGGGTTTTCCTTGGTATTCTCCTTCAGAGCTCCACTTCAACTTAATAAAATACAGAAGAAAAACGACTTTTGAAGCGAATTACAAGCCTCTTCTCTCTTCTTGCATTTTTCAACTTTCTTTAAAATTTCAAGGTGGGTAAGAGAGCAATTTAGCTTTTTAAAGAGAGTTAAATGCCTGATTTCCTCAAAATTCGAGCTAAGTGTCCGTATTATCCTTCAAAATCATGAAGCTTTCCATCCATGCTCTTTTTAGTTGTTTTTTTTTCAAAGACCAACCACTAAAAGGAATGGCCTGAATACTGATGCAGTTGAAGGTCTGATGGTTGATGAGACGCCACTGGTGTAACCCCTTGCCAATGGATGTCACCTATAATGGATTCTTGACTATGTGAGATTAAACCACGCCACTGTGCTGAGGCGGCATTGTGGATTTATCAGAGACAATACTTTACACAGATGTTGCCTTGTCCAGCACTTTATCCTCCCATGTATGTTCTTAATAACTAATAATAATTCTTCCACCAGGCGCCTGGCAAAATCAATAGAATTACGGCTTCTCAAGGAGTCCCTCTAGGCCTGAGCCTGAACCTCCTAAAAACCATTATGACCATAGTTGGCTGATGTATAAAAGGGCACCAGAGCAGGGACATTTATTCAGCCTACTGATAGTGCTGCTACAAAGTTCGAGATAGAAAGCAAGGTGGGTGAGCCATTCCATGCAAAACCATTTGAAATTTCCAAAATTGGTGCCTCAACTAACTCAAAAACCTTGTTCATTTTTTTACATAAACTTTTTGCACCAAGCAACGGCAAAAACGGCTTTTTTAGAGTTTTCTGATTTATCCCATTGTTGTTTTTCTTAAAGTTTTATCAGCGATGTAAAGTTGCTATTTTCAGAAAAAGTCATGTAAAATAGCCCAAAACATTAAATTTAAAAGAAAATTGTAAATTAAATAAAGTATCTCCAGAAGAGAAGTTTCTTCCACCTTACCTTGAAATTCAAAAAAAGTTGGAAAAAGAACCCTCTTAGGGAGGAATTCGTGGGTATGGAAAGTCGTCTGCGTCGATATTACGAGTTGAAAATTTTTTTTTTCAGACTTTTTTTCAAGACTTTTTTTCTTGATATATGTTTATTACTCGAATATTTTTTGCTTTGGGGAGTTTTCTTTTTTAATGATCAAAAATTTGTTTTTTCCAGAAATTTTTTTTTCTCGCAGCCCGAAAATCGAATTTTTTTTAAAAAAAAATAACTATATAAAAAAAGAAAATTAAATTTACGTTTTAATATTGTCACAGACAGCCTTTCATGAACAGGAAGGATTAATTGAAATTGAAACGTGCAAANGGGGGGGGGGGGGGGGGGGGGAGAAACATCATTACCTTTTCTACGAGTATTACAAGACTTGTTGCACTTCTTTTCTTCACTTAAAATGTAGATGACAAGAAGAAAAATAAATGACTGAATTATTATTTTTAAGATAAAATCGGGATGAATACCTGTGGTTGGAGATTCTTCCTGGTGATGGGAGAAGTTGGAATGTTACATCCAGTATCTTTGGGATCCGGGATGAGAAATAGGAATACCAAGACCCCTCCAATAGCGATCAAGGCACCAGGAGCTATGAATGATAGTCCCCAATTGGTTTCAACAAAACGACTAGCTATTAGAGTCCCAACAATGTTACCGACAGATGTATGAGAATTCCAAACGCCAAAAATAAAGCCTGGAATTCAAAAGAATTAAAGACTTGAAGAAGAAGATTTTTAATGTTATCTAATGGTACATTAATTCAGGGGTGCAAATCGTTCTCGACTGCGCGGTCGTAACCGAATTCTGCAAATGTCTTAAAAATTGTGGAACTAGAGTTTTTTTTTTGGGGGGGGGGTGGTTCTTCTTCTAAACTGTAAATTACTTTTGAGATCTTCCTAGTGCAGATTGAGAAATACTTCAACTCAATCAAGGAACTTCAAAGTCAGGTATGTAGATAAGTGTCAACACAGATTTCTTGTAACTCATTGCTTTTTTTAAGGGGTGACTTATCATTGTTACTGCAGAAAGTTCTAAATGTTTTTTTTCTCCTGCCATTCAGGGAATATTGTATGAAAAATTTGTCCAAAAGTGTCATTTAATTCTTGTACAAAAAACAAAATGGAAGTAGAAATTTTAGAATGCAGTAATTGTTGCTTTCCTTATAATTCAAAACTAACCTTTCTTCCCTTTTCCAAACCAGTTATCCATCACAGTAACAACACCAGGCCAGCCAGTTGTCTGAACTATACCACCAAACATCTGAAAATTAGCAATCTCATATTAGACGAGAGGCACTCAGTTCATTTTAGAGAACATTCTTTTTGAAAAGTCAGAACAAGACAAATTTTCTGTGGCACCTGCAGTCTGGCTGTTTGTGTCACCCTGTTTACAGAGAAACCATTTACCTGATTGACATCAGCGCTGTGAGTCATTTTTGATCCACCACCTGTTTAGCACATATTTTAAAGATTTAAACTAATTTATCAGCCAATTTTTTATAATGAAAGGCTGTAAAAAAGGAAATAGAAATTGTTCCAGACGATTTCCACTTTTCTTTAGATATCGCATGATTTGACAGCGAGTGAGTTAATGAATGAAAAGAAAGAAGGTATACTTTTTTCTTCATGAAAAGTTTAAGGGGAAAGACAACCTCAAAATTGATTGAACATCATGTATTAAGAAAGTTCCAACATATTCAGCAGATCTTGTGCTGTCAGTGCATAGTTTCTAGCTCATTTAAGCTGTTGATTCCTGTCTCTGTTGAATAAATAAAGACAATTTTGAAGTCTCATATTAAACCATGGAATTCAAAAGCCCTGTCTCTTATTAGCCTCCAAAAGTAGCTAATCGGCAGAAAGGAGACTTGCCTCCTCTTGCCTCCCAGCTTAAATGTATTTAAAAACAATGAATACATTGTTGAAGCACATATCTTAAGCTACAAAACGGTATATTTGACAGTTTTTTTCGAAAATATTATTAACTTAATCGGCCGACGAAGGCGAGAATAACCCAATTTCAAACACAAATTCAAATTTAAAGTTATTTTGACACATTCTCCTGCCAGTTCTATTCATCTGTTCCGGTCCAGCATTAATACAGGAACGTAGAAATATATAGACAAAGATAAACATCACACTTGAGGTGTTACTTCTTTTCACACCAGAGAGCATAGTTATGGAGGAAGTCTCTTGTTAGCCGGGTCTCATAATACTCTTCTTTCCTCTAGATGATGTTTTGTTGTTTGGCAGTTGCAACTTTTTACGAACGAACAGTTAAAAAATTGAAAAGTGCTTAGAAGATACATGTAAAAGCACCTTCTCTCCATTTTTGAAGATTTTAAAAGCAATTCTCACTGAACTGACAGCTCCAAAACATTTTTTCAAGATAGCTAATCTTCTGATCATGAAGAACTTGTACAATTATCTGATTTCTAAATGTAGTCTCTAAAGCACACAAAAATGAATGCAGATGCGAGTGAGAAATCATATTAGTTCTTCTAGGGAGTATACTTTTGTTTCATTAAGGGAAATAATCAAATTTTACGCAAATAAATGAGTTTTTCAGGGCAAATGAGTTGGAGGAAATAGAAGATAGTAAATGCATACCTGAACAATGATGAAATACGTGAGAGAGTGGATTTGATTCTCATAAGCTAATCCAAATAAGATGCAGGACAGACCAGATAAAATCATGCCAGTACTTAAATAATAGCGAAGATTCACTCTTTCAGCAATGAAACCACTGAGAAAAAGAGGTATTACTTTCAGGTAAATATCAAATTGTAGTCAAAGACAGGGTTAAATGAGGCGATTTTAAAAAATTACATCAAGTTTTTCAAAAAATGTTTTCGCCTCACCTCAAGATTTTATATGATCAAATATATTTTTGGTTATTTTGTTTCAGAGTTAATTTTTGATGCATGAGTTAAAGTAAGAGTCTTTATTAAAACAGCAATAATTTTTTATTAATTTAACCTCTTGCATAGGGAGGCGTGTCACCTCAGGAAAAAATGAGCTACCCCAGTTAAACACAATTTAACTGTATATAGCTGTACAAAATTACTTATTTTTATGCACCATTCCCATTTTTTTAAAATACTTCTAACATTTCATATAACTTCTGTCACTCGCTTGCTAGCATAATTCTCTGCAGAGTTTTTAAAATGAAACTTTCTACATGCCACTGTTAAAAAAGCAGGGTTGAAAAATGCAATTTTTGGTCACCTTAAACACATTTTCTAATGAAGATGCATAGTGATGTGACTACCACTATGTGTTTTGAGATGTTGCGCCATATGCTGTTATTATTTAAAGGAATCTGATTATTTTTGTCTACCTTATGTCCCCAGCCAGCAGGGGGAAAAAAAGCTCTCTTCGATCACAAATCAGCGATTGCAACATTTCTACTGAATAATTCCTTTACGAGTGTTGAAAAATTCACTATTAAGCCTCGCTTTTTTAGAGGTTGGCACATATTTAGAAAGTTCAACTTTAAAAGCTCATCATTCTTCGGGGGTTGTGAAGAACATCATATCAATAATATTGAAATTTACCGAGGGCTAAGTTCCTTGGTATTCCATATGTAATCTTTTGGACAGATAGCAAAAATATCAAGGTCCAGATATGTCTATCTATATTGATAGCCATATTTAAATGATCTATATGTTGATAGTCAATAGACAAAGTGATAAAAGCATGACAGTCTTTTTGACAAATAAAGCTTATGTCCAAGACATAAAAAACTTACCTGAAGAACATTGCTATGGCGTACGAGAAGAGGAAAGAGGAATCCAAGTAACCCAGTAAAACTTTGACATTTGGGCCATCTAAAATAAAAGGACGACGTTTGAAAATATTAACATGTTAGGTATAAATGTTCCATTATCGGAATCTAAGTACTCGTTAATTGATGTACACCCTTTTAGGAATTATCCTCTTCTCAGTTAGCAAAGAGAGATAGGTTATTAGAGTTAAAGAGAGATCACTATGTAAAATTCACCATTCCTCAGGATATATTAGTTAGAAAATATTAACATGTCAGGTATAAATGTATCATTATCGGAATCTAAGTAGGTACTCATCAATTGATGTATCCTCTTTTAAGAACTATTCTCCTCTCAGTTAGAGAGGAGTGATAGGTTATTAGAGTTAGAGAGATCTCTCACTGTGTCACTATGTAAAATTCACAATTCCTCAGAATATTTTCGATTTTTGGCACTTTTAGATTCTAAGAAAGCATCATTTTTCCATGATTACAGTCCTTTACACCAACCAAGTCCAGGGGCAAAATGGTCAGAATAGAAAACCCAATGAAGGCTCATTACTTTTCAGTCTAGAAAGATATTGATAGGGGAATTGTACAGCTTGAATTCGCACAAATCAATTTGCTGGTTACCTCTCTTTTCTTAAGACTGAGATACGTAGGTTTTCAGCTTTTGTTTATTTTTTTAATACACTTTCATTTCATCCAATTGAATGTGGGGTTGTTGGGATACCAAAACATCTTGGTCTTTTAAGCAAGTATGTTATTTTTAGGCTGCATTGCCCATGTGTTGGTGTTTCCTTATTCTTTGTTGTTAGAGTTTTACTTAATCGCTAAGCTGGCACAAAAAGATGATTATGACTTACCAAAAGGTGCCCAGTCACACCAGTTATCATCGGTTGTGTTGGTAGGTGGTATTAAATTCGAACAATTTTGATTCAGTACATTTTTAACGACACTAATTGGTTTTCGGGCTGCATGGTAGAATGTGTACGACATAAACGTCAAAAAGAAAACTAGACTTTGGTTTCTGAAACATAATAAAGCAAAAAATAGAGTTAGAGACCTTCGACAGTAAAAATTTAAAAAAAAAAAAAAATGGTACTTAAATCGAATTTTTATGTTGATCAATGCACGGATGTTAGAGCTGATTTTGAATAAAATTCGCAATACACGCCCCAAAAAACCATTACTTTGGACTAATACTAGCTGCTTTAAAAAGAAAAAAAAACTAATTTTTACCCAGAATTCGTTTACTTTGATTTTTCGAATTTAGGCGCTCTTGCTGAGATGTGTGTAAAATGACATGCACTAAACTGCTCAGAGATATGATGGAGATGCAACTCATATTTAATGGAATAAATTGTAAAAAACCTGCTGCTGTGCATACTGATGTTACTAATTTTTTGTGGCATTTCATTTTTTTGAAACACGAAATTCCGTGCGATTCTTGAGGATCGTTCTTTAAAATTTCGACTTAAACCCCAAAATTATTTTTCTGAAAGGGAAGAAAATCCGAACAAAGGACGACCTGTTAAAGTAGGTTGAGTTGAGGGGAACTCCATCAATCTTACTCAAATACCTGAATTTTTTGTGATATTGGGGACCGACAATGTTTTCATACATTTAAACGATGAAGATATTCTTCATTCTTCGAAGAATTCACAATGTCGCGAAAGAAATCAGTAATAATTTACTGCATCGGCACAAATGGCAACGCTGGAATCGAGTCAAGGTGTAAAAGAAACGAGCAAAGCGCCCTCAGTACAGCATGCGACGTACATATTCTTTATAAAGCCTGGATGCAAATATTCCGGCTCTCTGGATGTCCGTGTTGCAAAAACACGCAAGTGCAGGCGTTTTGAGGACTCTCCAGGCAATCGCCACCTCACTTGCGATGCGGCGCAGTAGCAATCAGGGCCGGATTTACCTACTTGCCGCCCATGGGCCGCCTGTATTTTGCCGCCCCCTTCTCATTCGTTTTGAAACATCAATAAAAACCATCGATAGTGAACGTGCCGGAGGGGGAGGGGTGCATAAGACGCGTTTACCTACTCGTATTGGATACATTTTTTGCGAAAGTCCTGTCAACACAACTGGCAAAATTTCAAGGAACTTTGCGCGAAAGTTAAGTTCCGTAAACATATCTCTGTGTGGACAAGGTCCTCCATTTATAAGAAATGAACCAAAAAATTATGAAAGAAAAAACATAGATGTGGTTTGACGCAATGCGTGAAGTATTCATGCAGTCTTGTAGGCGCTATGCGTTTCACGTCGACCGCTGCTGGCCGCACTGTGTTTGACGCAATGCGTGAAGTATTCATGCAGTCTTGTAGGCGCTAATATGTGTTACATGTCGACCGCCATGTCGAGGGCTTGTCCTTTTCATCTCAAGTCCTCGTCATCATTCCTCTCTGCGCTGAGCTCCAGGCCAAATTGCATGTTTAGTTTCTCTTTTAACTCGACTAATGAAAGATGCTGTCTCTTGTATTACCGAAAAACGACAAAATTAGAAATTACTATACTCTCAGAAAAGAGAGATTTTGTCCCCTTTTCTCATTGATAACTTTTTTTTTCTGAATCCGATTTTTTTTATACCTACATTTAAAACAAATTCAAAATTTGCCGCCATAGGCCGCGGCCCACGTGGCCACCCCCTTAATCCGGCCCTGGTAGCAATGTGTACTGCGAGGATCCAAAATCATTTCATATGGACCAGCTAGTAATTCTTGAGCCATTTTCCGCCCACGTTCTACCCAAATTCAAAATAGTTTTGGACGAAAAATGTGAGAATTAACCATCATTGTGAGTCAGGAATATTTTAAGATGACAAACACACACACACACCCTCCCTCACAAAAAAAAAAAAAAAAAAAAAAAAAAAAAAAATCAGGAGTTGAGTTGTGAATTTCTTATTTTCGTCCACAGAGGGCCGCACTGTGCGCCGTGCGGCGCTGCGGGTAAAAAGGTAGTGTCTGAAGAGATGTCTTTACTGGAGAGTCAAAACGCCTTCAAATCATGCGTATGCAACTCGAACACCCATAGAGCACGAATAGTTGCATCCACGAGTAAGAATGAAATTAGTTGGGTGTTCATCGCACGCGATACTAACTGAGGGCGCTTGCTCGTTTTTCTTACACCTCAACACAATTTCAGCGTTTCCTGTTGTACGGACGGAGTAAACCAATACTGATTTTTATCGCGAAATCGTCCATTTTTTCGGTCATCTTTCGCAAAATGGTTTGATGGTTCAAATGTATTACAACGTCACCATTCCGTAATGAAGGCTGCGGTCCCTACCGACTGACATGAGCAGTGGCGTGGCGTGAATAATCGATTATCGATATCTCGCCGTTTGAAGCTATGGTAAAGAATCGATTATCAGAGTGTTCGCTGCGAACACCCTAATAATCGATCTTTTTTCATAGGTTTGAGTGGCGTATCAATCGATATATCGCAAAGCACGCCACGCCACTGGACATGAGAATAAGAACGAAGGACGCGGCCGAGTCGTTTCATGGATACTTAAGAAATTTTTTTTCGAGCGCGTGTCCCAACAAATTTATTTTCCTAAAAGAGTTGAAAAGATGTCCAGTCAGAATGGAGTTACATCAACCTACGGTCAGTTCAGAACCCGGCGAGACAAGACCCAAAGCTTGTAGAGGACATGTTTTACGCTACTGATTGCTTCAAAGTCATCGACTTGGGACATCAGTAGATCCAGGTCATAAACGAATCAATGACTAAATACTTAAGTAGAAGTGGAATTGGACCGCGTTTAGCAGAAAGGAACCAAACCACGCCAGCTTTTGCCAATTTTAACTGAACAATTTAATTTTTTACGACGGAACTTTTGTGCGGATTTTTTTGGGAAATTTTTAGGGAATTTGCTTTTTACTATGCAGAAGATTCACTGGAATTTGCAAAAAAATCCGCACGACCGTTTCCATGTAAAAAATTGAATTGCCTACTTAAATTTGACAATAGCTGATGTGGCTTGGTTCCTTTCTGCTTAACGCAGTCCAATTCGTGCATGTACTAAATGAAAGTACTTATTTAAGTCATCGAATTGGAGCGTTAGCAGACCTGATTCATAAAAAAAAAAACAAATCATCAACGACGAAGTATTTAAAGGAAGCCGGTCTAAAGTTCCTCGCACAGGTATTATCGTAGGTAACGCGATAAAAAAAATCAAGGAAGTGTCTTTTCTTAAATTTTTCTGTCCTCCACCCAGGGCCGGATTAAGGGGGTGGCCACATGGGCCGCGGCCCATGGCGGCAAATCTATAGGGGGCGGCAAATTTTGAAATTTTTTTAAATGTAGGTATAAAAAAAATCGGATTTAGAAAAAAAAATTACCAACGAGAAAAGGCTACAAAATCTCTCATTTCCTGAGAGTATAGTAATTTCTAATTTTGTCGTCTGACAGTGATACAAGAGACAGCACCTTTAATTAGTTGAGTGAAGAGAGAAACCAAACACACAATTTGGCCTGGAACGGCGCGACTTAGGGAGAAATGATGACGAGGACTTGAGATGAAAAGGAGAAGCCCTCGGCGTGGCAATCGGCACGTAACACATATTAGCGTCTACAAAACTGCACGAATACTTCACGCATTGCATCAAACACAGTGCGGTTATTGAGGTCAGCGTGAAACGGATAGCGCCTACAAGAATGCATGAATACTTCACGCATTGCGCCAAACACAGTGCGGTCAGCGTGAAACGCATAGCGCCTACAAGACTGCGTGAATACTTCACGCATTGCGCCAAACACGGTGCGGTCGGCGCGGCGCGGCGGCGGAAGTTAAAATCATTGAACCAAATTTTTTGTTTGTTCTTTCATAATTTTTTCGTTCATTTTTTATGAATGGAAGGCCTTGTCCATTAGAGATAGGTTTACGAAACTTGACTTTCGCACAAAGTTCCGTGATCTTTTGCTAGTAGTGGTGACAGGGCTTTCCCAAAAAATGTGTTCAACACGAGTAAACGCGTCTTATGCACCCCTCCCCCGCTGGCACATTCGCACTTGATGGTTTTTATTGATGTTTCAAGCCGAATGAGAAGGGGGCGGCAAAATACAGGCGGCCCATGGGCGGCAAGTAGGAAAATCCGGCCCTGCCTCCACCATTCTCTCAGGTAACGGAAATCAGTTTACCTACCAATAAAAGTATCTCCTTCGGGGCGAAGACAAGATAAGAGACAGTTTCACCATTAAAGTTCAAGGAAGAAGGCACGAGGCAATTTTAGTTTATTTGATGAGAAACACGAAATTAAAAGACACGAAGATAAAATTTGTTAAACTCATTTTATGTTTTAATTTTTATATCCATGGATTATACTCACCTTATATATAAATATCAAAAGATTAAAATGCAAAAATGATAATAGACAACCATTTTTTCCATTTAGTAAAATATAGTCCATGACCTCTCCTAATCGCCTTAAACTTAACTAATTCTGTTGCAAGAATTACTAAATTGGTTTTAACTAACTCGAGCTTCTTGTTTTTTTTGTTTTATTTTTACTACTGTTTTAGTTATGTTTTAATGATGGCGAGACGTCATACGAGAATCATTGTATGAAGGATCCCGGTCTTTAAAAATTAACTACATTATTGGATCCGGCATAATCTTTTTTATCATTTCAGAGATCTGCCTATTTGGCTCATTTTTTTTTCACAATCGTTCTAACACCCGGTTGCGCTTGCCAGGTTTTGAACTACTCTTCAAATGACGTTGGTACATTTTCGGATTACAAATAAAGAATGACGGGAAGTCTGCAACGTTGGACGGTGCAACGGGATGCGCGTTTTCATTGACGATTCCAGCAAGTTGGCAACACTGTTAATACTTAATTTAAATGCATTGGATTTATCGATTCTAGGCGAGACAGCTGCTGCCTCATCTAGAATAGATTGTTTAACATACATTTACCTAAATTAAGACAAAACAGTTTTGCCGACTTAGGCATTGAGCGTTTTCGGGTGGTTTCACGGTAACTGGAATAGTTTGGTCACCGTAACAGACAA